CAGGAGAACTGGTTACACGCAACCAAGGGGTAGCAGGAGACTCTGGCAGCGAAGAAGGAGAACTAGAAATAGGACGTTTAAAGGGAAAGAGTTTCTCATCAAACTCAACATGACGAGCAACATAAAGACAGTTATGGACCACATCAAAACAGCGATAACCAAGATGAGATGGAGAATACCCAAGAAAGACACACTGAGTAGAACGGAAGGAGAATTTATGTTTATTATAAGGGCGAAAAAGAGGATAGACAGCGCAACCAAAGACACGAAGAAAGATATAATCAGGTGGCTGGTGATATAGTGTAGTGAAGGGTAGGTGACCTTGAAGAGGTTTACTAGGGTGGCAATTAATAAAAAACACAGCAGTTTCAAAAGCAAAATCCCAAAACCGAAAGGGGGTACTGGAATGGCCAAGGAGAGCAAGTCCAATGTCGACAATGTGACGAATTTTGCGTTCAGCAGTGCCATTCTGTTCATGAGTGTTTGGGCACGCTAAACGATGAACAATACCGACATCCTTAAAGAAAGAATTGAGAGAGCGAAATTCATCACCCCAATCAGAGTTAACACTTTTAATGGTAGTGCCAAATTGATTTTCTACGAGAGCTTTGAATTGCTTTGAATTGCTTGAATTGATTTTGGATTGTTTTAAACCTAGCTCTGATACCAACTTAGAATAAGGAAATTGTATTGAATTCATGATATGTGGTGCACAATATACAGACTATACATAGATAATAACAAACCCTAAACTAGAACATAATAGGAAATATACTAAATATTACAATAGAGATCGACACCGAACATCACATTCATATCTTCTGTTTCCTGGTTGAATTCATTGTGACAAATGCAGTATACTAAAACAGTGAAAAGGAATTCTTGTTAAGTTACCTTAATTTTTTAATCCCTTAAAAACATAAATTGTTTATAAAAAAAAAGTTTCGTGGAGGATGCTATTAATAAACTTTAAGGCAAGCAAGTGATCCGTCATCATCAATTGCTTTATTAATCAAAACTCTTTTCATACAGCGATTAACTCAGATAAGAATTCAAAGTTCAAGAATATAAATTAGGCCACAAAATGCCAAAGAAACATACACACTTCTTCGATCTTTATCAACATTAGTGCGGTACTTCCCTTTAATCAACCATGGGCATGCAGGACAGTCAACTTGTTCTCACTGTCTGATCATTTGTGTACATGCAGCCATATCTAAGCAAAAGTCTTTCTTGTTTCTTTGTGTTAACGGTAAAAATTTTATTGAAATTGAAATTAAAACTGAATTTTTTCGATAGAAAAATGTAAACAAACAAAGGTGTACTTGTTCGAGTATTTAATTGTTACAATATACAAAATCTGAGAAGAAATGTGAGCAATCATTCTCAGCCATAGTTTGCAAACTCACGATCCTAGATCGTAGGATCGATCCTACGTTCCCAGGTACCTAAATCGATCCTAGATCGATCAAACTCGAATTTTGCAGTGGGATCGGAGTAGGATCGGTCAGGATCGGTTAGGATCATACAGGATCGATCAGGATCGTATGATCAGTTCGAGTTTATTATTCATTAATTACAAAAAATTAATTGAGGTTATTGAAATTTTTTTTCCTCTTATTTCTTTTGGTCTACATTCAATTGAAGCTAATATTTCATTGAGGAAACTTTTATTGCTAAGAAAAATGTATTTAGGAAGTTTTTCTAATAAAATGAAAAGAATAACTACAAGAGAAGAGTTTTCATTAAAAAGTTATGAAAAAATTCATATACGAAAATTCAATTTACACATTTCTTTTTGTTTAAATGTTAAATACTTTATTTAAAGATAACTAAAACTTAATTATTAAAGCAATTAATTATATGACATGTATAATTAATTTTATGATCCTATTATTCCGATCATACCGATCCCGTTTACGATCTGATCCTATGACCCCATTTCGATGCTACGTAGGATCGTGATCCTGCAAACATTGTTCTAAGCCATTCACTGTTCCAGCTCATCTTCATCCAGCAGCAACAGCAAAAACGAAGGTGGTCCTGCATGGAGAATGCTTGATTAGGAAGCTTCCAAAGCACACATGACGAATGGTATAATGCAACAGCCTCTTGATCCAGCTTTGTGTAATCGACCTTGGCATCGAGGAAGATTCTGGACCATAGTTCCACGTCATTAATCCGCAGAATCATCAACTAACAACCATCTGATTATAGGTAGTTAGCACCTGATTATTTGTAACCATAGGATTAGCGTGTGTTTCTTTTATCTCGCAATACTTGTATAATTTAACATGGAAGATTAGTTTTAGATTCGTGTATATATACAACACAGCTGAGATTGTACAGATGACTTGATTTTCCGTAATATATAGAACGAATTTTACACAGAAAAGCTCTCTTCCTTTCTTATTCTTCATAATCAGAAATCCTAAAACTTGTCTTCTTTACCTTGATTTTCTACATTGATTCTCAGTATCATGAGTCAATTTGTAGTTTTGTTTGATGGTATCAGAGCAGGCTAGATCCTACTCCGTATTCCACTACATAAAAGAATCATCTATGTTCTTGATTTCTTGATTCTTTCACCAGTTTTTTTTCCTTTTCCCTTTGAGAATTTGTTTTCTTCTTTACTTGAAAGAATTATGAAAAACTCACTGAATCGGTGAAGGAATGTTAAGGAACATGGAGATACAGAGGATTTGGTAGATATTCAGCTTCACATACATAGATTAGAGAATCCAGGATCACCTCTTGTTTCGGTGTTGCTTAATGAGAAGAATTACAGGATCTGGAAAGGTGTTATGCTTGCAGCTTTAGAGGCAAAAATGAAAGATGGATTTGTCACTGGTAGACTACCCAAACCGCCAGAAGATTCACCATAGTTCATCTGGTGGAAACAGGCTAACAGCATGGTTTGTTAAGGAATTAAGAGTTCTATTTCACCAGAATTATTGGTAAATACTTTCACTTTCATATGATGCATATACTTTGTGGAAAGATATTGTTGAACAATATGAAACTACCAATTTGCCTCAATTGTTTGAAATTAAGCGTTAGATTGCTTTGATTAGACAAGGAGATTTATTTGTGGTAGTATCTTATGGTAAATTTAAACAATTAAGGAATAAATATGCTCAATTAAGGCCTAGTCCCACAACTGTTAATGAAACGAATCAATTGATGTTAAAAAGAGAAGCTAAGGATAAGGGGATGAAATTTTTGATGGGGTTAAATGAGATATATGAACAAGACAAGAGCAACATACTGTTTATGGATCTACTGCCATCAATTAATAGGATCTATGACATCATTCTGGCCTCTGAGAAGCACAGGCAGTTGAGTACAACTATGGCTTTACTAAGTGAAAATCCACCATGATTGTGAGGGAAGGAGATGTAAAGAAACCAGTGAGTGCATTAGTTGACATTACAACACTTGTACCAAAAGTGCCTGACTGGAAAAAGCAGGGAGGACATAAGGGACCTCCTTATCAGAAAAAGGTCTCCAACAACTGGTCTCGTGACAACCCAAGGCGGTCATTACTCGCTGAAATTAACGTAAACAAATCATTCAATTTTTTCTCGATAAAATATTTGAAAAAACTTAACTACTAAAATGTATAATATAAATCCCATACACTAATTTCTTACCTGCTGATGATGATGCAGATGCAGATGCAGATGCAGTTGCAGAAGCATAAGCAGCTCCAAGTCCTCTAACCATAAGACGAATAACATTGCTTTGTCTAGCTGGAGATGAATGTGGAGGTGAATGTGGAGGTGAGTCACCTCCGAAATCATTAAACCCTTCCGAGTCGATATCTTCAGTGGGGCCATCATCATTGTCACTCACATTCTATAAGTCCAAACTGGCATGATCAAATACATCGTCAAGTCCCACACTACTATCGGCTTGACCCATCTGCGACTCACCCTTTGACCTATGCCCAATTGGACTCCCACGACGATATGAGGCAGAAATAACTCGACCATGCATGTCTGTATACCTGACTCAAGCAACAATGAAGAATCAGGTACATGTGGCCTTTTCTTTTTTCTCCTTTGAACCTACATTAATCAATATATATAACTATTCCACTATAATAATTAAAATAGTAATTAAAATAAATTTAATTAAATAAATTATACCTAATTAATTTATCCTTTTGACCTACATTAAATAATATATATAAATATTCCATTACAATAATTATTCAAATAAAAGTTAAACTAAAATCAATTAAATTAATTATACCTAATGGAATATAAATAAAATAAATTCAATTAAATTAAGTATACATATTAAATTTATATATTTTTAATAGAATATAATTAAATTAATTACAAATATAATTAAATTTTTCTCTTTCATTATAAATTAATACAAATATAATTAAATTAATTACAACTAATAACACAATATTCAACAACTAAGTACACTAATTGTAAATAATTTATCTAAAATAATTATAAAAAATTATAACAAAAAAATTATTAAAAAAAAAAAGAAAACTGCCCAGGCTGGCTGACCCGAGCGGTGGCTAGTTCGGGCCACCGGTCACTCTTCAAGGATTGGCCGGTCCCTGACCAGGCCAATCCACATCCCGTGCCCGGTGAGAAATCCGGCCAAGGTTCCCGGGCTGGCCACCGTTCGGGTCGGCTAGCCTGGACAGCAACCCTTTTTTTAAATATAATTTGAAAAAAAAAAATTTATCGGCATCGATGTTGAGCTTTCCCGTTGTTCCCTACCGCGTTCCGCCATTTTTTTGGTGTTCGTTTATTAGTAGATCTAGATTTGAAGAAGAAGAAGAGAGGAGGAAGGAGAAGAAGAAAGAATAAAAGAGAAAGAAGAAGAGAAGAGGAGGAAGGAGAAGGAAGGAGGAAGAATTATAAAAAAATAAACTACATATAAGGGATTTCTGAACTGCGAAAAGCAATTCGGAAATAAAAACGCGGATCCGAAATCGGGTATCGGGTTATAACAGTTCGGATCTCTTTATGTTTGACCGAAGTCCAAACCTTTTGATCGGTATTTCCGTCTACTTCCTAACCCAAATTAATGCCGGTGACAGCCTATCTCGGCGGATACCTATAGGAGACAAAATTTTGAATTTAGAGGCTGATGAGGCTGCTGTTCCTCTTCTGAAGGTGATTGATTTTCCAACTCCTTTTTTCCTTTCGATTTCTATGCGTTTACTTTACTTCTTTGATTTGTTTGCTGAAATGCAGTCTTTTTCTCTTGGTGTTTCTTGACAAAAAGTTTAGGGTCTGTTTGAAACAAACAAACCCTTAATTGTTGTGCCACTTTATGAATTAATAGGATCAAATGGTGTGTATTTTGTGCTTTATATCACTTTCAGTTGAAATTGGATGGATGGTTTTCTGTTTATCTTCCATAAACGTTGAGTACTTTGATTGTTTAAACTACGAAAAGTGGATTTTTTTTTTAGCTTGAATGTTACCCTTTTATTATTGAAGCATAATCAGTGGAATAATCATTTGTAAACTATCTATGTCCATAGAAGAAAACTTCGAAACCTTTAAATTTCACTTTAAAACAAGCGTCACGAAACCTTTTAAATTTCAAAGACCAAAGAGATACTGACAATGAAGGATCAAGGTCGGTTCTACCCATTCAAATTGCGCAGAATTTAGAACATGTAGATGCATTTCGACTGAATCACACTTACTGCTTCAGAGTTTTTCCAGGGGAAGAGGGGACGGGACGGCTTCGGTGATGAAGCAAAGAAAGAACCTTTCTGCTGATTTCAACTCTGCAGCTGTAAGGAATGGGACCCCAAATAACAATTGTTCCAATGATGATTATGATGACATCGAAGAAAGAGTCCACCTCTCAAACTCAAAATCTTCGCTGCAGAATGTGTTCTGGTTTTGTTTGGTTTTCAGAATGATCAATGCCTTACTGGTGCAAACATATTTCAACCCAGATGAGCATTGGCAAGCTCTTGAAGTAGCTCATAGGATCACTTTCGGGTAAGCTTTTAGGAAACCAGTTAATTTTGAAATGCTAAATTATAACCCTATTGGATTGATTTTTGGTATTTGAGATTAATTTCATAGATGTGTATTTTGTTGGTTTGGGTGATTTTCAGGTATGGTCATTTGACCTGGGAATGGAAAAGAGGAATAAGAAGCTACCTGCATCCAGCAATTTTTGCCCTGCTTTATAAAGTTCTAGCCATTTTTCATCTCGATACCCCGTTGTTCATGGTAACTATGGTTTCCTGTATTTAAGGTTTATCTTTTCAGAGTTGTCTTATTAGTTGGAAGATTGGTATCAGAAAAAATGATCAAGATTCTAATTTTTTTTTTAATAGAATGCAATCATGTTCGCATTGCTTAATTGCTCGCGTGGTTTAGGTATCTGTTTAGGGATAGGATTGGCTGTATCATTTGGTCATACTCCTTGCCAGATGTTTTCAGAACTTGGCTACCTTTTAATTTTAGTGTTTTGGTATCTGTCTAAGAAGGCTGTTTTGTCAAGGATCCAATGGATCTCAATCGAGATTTTATCCCTAACTTGTCCAACTGTTTTCCTACTTCATATTGCGGTATTTAGGTTTCTTAATGCTTGATTAATTTGTTCCACTACCTCTGTGGCCATAGATTGTCAGCGATTCACTCAGTTGTTTTCATGAATTTCAAAATATAGCGATTGAGGAACCTAAATGAAATGGATAATACTGACACATCATTCAAGTTACTGATTTCATTGAGCTGTAAATCATGTTTGGGGAGTAATCAAAAGGGTGGTAGGTGCTTCCTTGAGCTTCTATATAATTGGCAAACTAGATGACTCTCTTAGTGGGTTCACTTGGCTCTGATCAGCGATAGGGCAGTCATCAGATAGGCTTTCTGGTATAGCATTGTGCTTTGCTCATTGTTTTTCAATCGCTGCTTAGCTATTATCTTAATTGACTTTGTACTTTAAGAAGTTGGTCTAATGTGTAATGGGTGGATGCATAGAGACTTGGAGTATTCTGATATTTCCATCTTTATCTTGACAATAAATTTGCATTCTCAGGTGAAAGCTCCTCGATTACTGCAATCTATATTTTCTGCATTTGGCGACCTTTACTCGTACAAGCTGTCCAAGATTGTTTTTGGTGAATATGTTGCAAAGTGGGCAGTATCCTTCTCTCTGGGTCAGTGTTGATTTTGGATTGAGATGTTTCCTTTATTTCTTTATTCCATGGCCCAGCAGTCATTTCTACATATCCGCTGCCCCTATTTATACCTCGTTTAAGACTCTTAATGCATGTGGAACAAAGAAAGCAACTGATACTCCCTCCTACCAGAAAAATAGTCCACTTTTTTGTGCTGTTTTAGTTCAACAAAATAGACTATTTTCTTGCGACAGAGGGAGTATCATTTTTCTTTTCATTTATGGATTCTTGTAATTTTTTATTTTTTTATTTTTTTATTTTTTTGGGTACAGGATTCTTGTAATGTTGACCTTAACGCTGATCAGCTCTTTGCTCAGTTGTCAAACTGGTTCATGTTTTTTTGTATCACACGTACATTCTCTAATAATTTGGAGACCGTTCTTACTTTAGCTAGCCTTTATTACTGGCCATGCATTAGAGGTTCATCTACTGAAAGTACTGTGACATCAAGGAGCTGGGCATTGGCTTTAGCAGCGTTAGCGTGTGCCCTTCGGCCTACAAGTGCTATTATATGGCTTTATGTTGGCGTTTTGGAACTTCTTTCGACACGCCATAGAGTAAAGCTTATTTTTTGTGAGGCAGTGCCTATTGGGTAGGTCTTACTTCAACAGTTTCTTAATTTTACTTATTGCTGATACTCATGCTTGTCTTTGTAGTTGTACTAATTTTGGGGACTACTTGAGTTAGCTGCAAAGTGAATGTCCTATTTGAAATATAAGCTGTTTTTGTAACTTAAAACGGTCCATCTTGAGAGTTGATGAGATACTTTGCTAGAGGTTAAACTTTGAATAATCATGGTTGGCTAGATTCTAGATAACATTTGAATAAAAATTCCATACATCATGGTACACTGGGTTAGACTATTGACTAATGGTAACTGAGGTAGTTTCTGGGCTGGCCAGGGGTTACTGCTTTGTCTTTGTCATTGAAATGGTCCCATCGGTATTTTCCCATCTTAAATATGGTGCCCCCACTTTTCTGCTATTCTACAAACTTCATGAAGGAAAACGGGGAAGTTTCAGGAAGCAATTATGGGGTTTGGAAATTTTTACAGTGCTTACAATAAATTGAAAAAGATCTCGCTGATTTAGTGGCTGCAAAGCTACAATGGAAAGATTATTTGTGGAAATGGGGATGTTTAAGGAGTTATTAATAACTTGAACATTGGAAAAAAGTGCTGTTTCCAAATCCTCTTCAAGTTAATTAGAAAGATACTGACATCTTCAGCAGATTTTTTTGTTCTATGCTAAGGGATTCTATTTTGTTCCTGCTCTCTCTCTCTCTCTCTCTCCCGCTCGATCTCTTCCCCATTATTTTTTTCATAGACGTGTAGATATACCCAAGACATTTGAAAAATGATCCCTTCCAGAGTTGAATGCTTATTGATCAGTTTGTTGTTCTGACAAAATAGTCCTCCATCGTTCAGTGCCTTCTGCCTGCTAATTAGCATGTCATTAAATTTATTGAAAAAGGTATTCCAGCTTCAGTTGTCTACAAGTATTGCTTGCCTGTGTTCGTGAAAAAGACTGTTAAGTTCATTCTTGGAAAGCATGACAACAGACACTGAACATCATCTCTTCGACATGGTAGCTGTTTTATATGTGCCTGAACTTGTCATGTGTGATATTGGTTGTATATGTGTTTTTGTAGTCATATTTACATACTAGAAAAGCTTAAATGGGCATTCCAGTGCTTAGAAACCCCCACATATGTGGAATGTGGGAAGGGTCAGTCATTGCAGCCTAGAATTGGCAGCCTAAACTTGTTTCTCTAATGAGCCGTTACCATGATTCAAATTCTTGAGCTGAGATTCATCAGCATTTAACTGTTCAAGATACTGTAATGTTACTACTGGCGAAATCCTCCTTGCTTTAACTACGTTTAGACACTGGTAGCAGTTTGTTATGCACAAAGTCTGTAGGGTTTGAACTGTTCCTGAGATCCTTAATGTTCTTACTGATTTTGTTCTTTTAATTCTCTTGCCACTTATGACAATGAGGCTGCACAATGCATAGATGGTCTGGCATCTGTTCCTTTGTTTTTTCCTTTCATTGTTTCATCAACTAGGGTAGGTGAAATGTTGGAAGATTTTACCTTGTGCATGTTTAAATGAATGGTTATTAGTTGCAGTTCCTACCCTAGAATGTTTAATGCTGCCAGTCTCTAGTGTCAGCTTATTTCTTCTGGGATCTTACAGCAATCTGTTATGATTCAGAAACAATTATGTCACAGCATATATGTGATCATTAATCATTTGCATGCCTGGAATCAGGGCTTTGGTGCTTGGCCTCACTCTTCTGTTGGATCGTCTGATGTACGGCTCTTGGGTTTTTGTTCCTCTGAATTTTCTTATGTTTAATTTCCTTTCCTCTGGGGGAGACTACTATGGAACTCATCCATGGCACTGGTACTTCACTCAGGGATTTACAGTCATGCTTTTGACTTTCCTACCATTTATGGTAGCTGGTATTGTCATGTCGAAGAAATGGAAGTTATCTGGACTTATTGCATGGGTATTAGGAATCTACAGTATACTTGGTCACAAAGAGTTCAGGTAGGTCTTGTTCACATATCTACATTGCCATTTCATAGATACTATTGTCAGCTTCTATTCTGTCCTGAGTGATAGGTTCGTCCTGCCTGTGCTTCCAATAGCCTTGATGTTCTCAGGGTACACCCTAACCAAACTAGGACGGATTGGTCACTTAAATGGCCGGAGGAAAACTCCTAGGACCAGCTCCCCCTTAAAGAAACAAGTGGCAGTGGCGTTTATTCTTGCTACCAACATTCCAATGGCTCTTTACATGAGTATGGTTCATCAGGTGCATACCTGTCTTTTTCTGGTTATGCCTGCCAAAAATTAGTTCATATTAACCAGGTTGTAGGGGTCGCTATAAAACGAGGAAGTGTTTATCTGCACATTTCCTTGACTGCCATTTTTGCTTCCTGATTTGAAGTGACTTTTATGTTCAGCAAGGGTCATTATATTTATGGAAAATTTGGCATATTTTTATTTCAGCCCTTTGTAGCCTTTGTTCTGACTGGCCGCTGTTTTTGACAGCGAGGAACAGAGGATGTCATGTACTATCTGGCAAACAGGGCTGTTGAGGGAAAAGTGAAAAGCATTCTTTTTCTCACACCTTGCCATGCTACGCCTTACTACTCAACCCTACATCACAAGATACCTATGCGTTTCTTAGATTGTACTCCAAGGTAAGAATTCTGAAACACTAATATGCTTTATCCATTGTCGTTTTTGTTCTAATTTCCAAAGTTCAAGTCACATATTTTTTTGTGTCTTTCCAACAGTGAGGAAAAGGGAATGTTGGATGAGTCAGACAAGTTTCTTATGGATCCAGTTGGTTTCACTACAGAACTCGCAAAGAATTGGTCAATGCCCAGTCACATCGTGGTGTTTGATACTCAGGAGAAGTTACTGAGGGACTTTCTTGTTTCACATAATTTTCATGAGGTGTGGACTGTTGGCAATCTTCTTCTAATACCTATAGTTTACAATTAAACTATCATTTCTTCATTATCTGCATTTGCTTCTCAAAATTACTAGTTGGGTTTATTCTTTTAACAGGTGAAAAGATTCTTCCATGCTCATTTCAAGGTCGACCGGGAGCTTCAAGCATCAATTGTGCTGTATGCTTTAAAGGGTCAGTGATTCTGGATCCAATTATTTTCAAAGGATATATTTATGGGGCGGGCCTCGGCACAACGATAAAGTTGCCTCTTCGCGACTGGATGATCAAGGGCCTAATCCTGGAGTAGCCTCTTTGTATTACTTACTGAGGGTTAGGCTACATACATTGATAGAGAGAAGCCATAGCCTTCTGGCACAGGAGACCTTCACTGAATCTGAACCTTGTCCTGGATTTCCTGGTGATTTTGCTGTTGAAAGTTGAGAAGATTTCCATTCCATGTTTTGGGTTTAAGCTTTGTTGTAGTTAATGGTGTTTCCATTCTTTTCATTTTCAAGACATTCAGAAGCCTTGAATTGCTAGAAAAATTCAGCGCATGACAGAGTTTTCTACTCTACTACTTAGCTTCCAAGTTCCGTAGGTCTATAATTAGTCAACGAGTTACAATGTGGTTAAACAAGGATGGTTTATGATAGGCGTTTAACTTCCGTTGTACAAACAACTAATGATAATATAACTCAACATGTTAGATTGAACCAGAGGCTGATTTTGCTGCGGATTATTTAACAAATGTCTATGCCAGTAGTATTTGAGGGTTGAGTCTAGCAGGATGAGGTTAAATAGTGATTGGAGCACGTATGTCCTATATATGAATTGTTTTAATTAGTTTATACCTGTGAGTTGCACGAATTGATAAATTATTCTTATGTAAATATCAGGTAATAATGTTTTGCAATTGTGAAATTTTCAGTAGTGATGCGGTAAAAATAATAAACAATAGCATATAATACCGGGGATACAGTAATGAAATGAATCAAAGTCAGTAAAACTAATGAACATTTATATCCTCTGGAGTGCTTCGTTGAAGAAGACATTTTTGTCCAATTGCGAAATTCTCCTTCCTTGTATATGAATACTTTGAGATACCATCTGAATTTTACCTTAGAAAGTGCAACATATAACTGTCCATAAACAAAAACTGAACGTGACAACAACAGGCCCACTTGCAAGAGTGATTAACCCTTACTCTTATTGATTGGCATAGCAAAACACTTCGCAAACGGGAACTTTCTTCTGTATCCTTATGTCAAAAGGTTGGATGTCCGTACGTGGAATGAATACTTTTTTCTGATATTTGATCTGGATATAATAGTTGCCTCAAAGACACAATCTCCTAACTCGTCAACCTGAAGAGAGATATTGTTGCACAAATCATCTGGCTGGTCTAGATTTCGAAAAAATATGATTAGTACCCCTTTTTCAACGTCAATTTGTGGCACGGTATACCAGAATACTTATCTCATTAAGAAATTCAGGAGTATACACTTGACATTTTTATCGTTGGTGGATTATTCCTTTCCGGTTAGCCAATAGATGGAGATACATAGCGTGACAAATTGAAGCAATAGGAGAGTACTATATGCTCGACCAGAATGTCTTTAAGGATGTCAATTTCGACTTCTCTATGGTTTGACTCTCTAAATTTTCTACCGCCAATCATGAGTAACCATTATGCAAACTCCTTTAGGTCGTCAGACAATTCGGTATCAAGATCCCGTCGCAATCTCATGTTCTGCGTCAATCTCAAGACTGTACATTTTTTTTTTCATATGGCGATACATTAACTGTAGCGTCAACGATCTCTTGTTGGATTTCTTTTGGAATAACTGGCAAGATATGTTTAAAATCTCCTCCCAGAGTTGTACTAAATTATCGAATACTTCTTCGTCATTCTTAGAATTCTGCTTACGCAATATATCTCTAAGTGTTCTATCTAACGCCTCGAAACAATACATGCGAGTCATAAGGGATTCATCCAAGATAATTAACTTGGTATGTTCTAGCAGAGCACCCCAATCGATTTGCGGCATCGCGTAACAAAATAGAATTACGTTGCACGATGGATTTTAGATATTATTATGATAAATATTTGAATATAAACGATCATAGGTGTTGTTGATGATAAAATTTAAAATATTCGTATGTTTTTTAAATATTACAATGCTTGAATTTTATTCACTTTCCGCTAAATGTTTCGTACCGTGGCATCGAAATTATAAATTAATATTCTATTTACATTTGTTTATCGTAGGTCTTGTTCATTTTTTTGTTTTCAAATGTCGATATGTGCAGAGATATAGATAAATATCAGAGTTATTTCCAAGTTTCAATGTCAAATTATAGTTCAACTTGACCCTACATCTTATTTGACTTGTTGAGAAATTTGAAGGAGTTCATCTATTTACTCATTATTGTCATTCATTGTGATCAATTGATGTCAGACATTAAAATAAAGAGGCTGTATCCAGTATACCCGGGGGCACCGTGCCCCCTCCTATTTTTTGCACGAGTAGTCCTTATTGTACCTTTTTTATCAATCTTTCTATGATTTGCAAGGATAGTCCCTGTGACTTTTTTCCTTCTCTTCAAAAAAAAAACAGCTCTAATCTTTCAACGAGCATATCTCCCAATCCGTGAAGAATTTGTGAACGAATTATACATGAAATTTATAGTACTCGTCGTGATCTATCCAATGAAATCCATTTCGAATATTTTTTTGAGTTTAAAAATGACTAAATTTTGATGGGCAGAATAAGTTGGATATCCAAGAAGTTGGATAACCAAGATGCACGAGTTGGATAACCAGATATGAACACAAGTGGATAACCAGTTCAAACAATTTGGATAACCATGTAAATCTATTGGATAACCAGCATTAGCGCATTGGATAATCCAGTACAAACCAATGATTGGATAACCAATACAAACGAGTTGGATAACCAACTTAGTTTATTATTTTTTAAAAAAATAATAAAAACAAAAAAAACCAGGTTGGATAAATAATACTGATTAGTTGGATAAACAGTATTAACATAAATAATCAAGATGGATAACCAACTTATTTTACATTCATATTATTCCTTTCCTTGTATCTAATGATTCGTAAAGAATTATAACATGAATTATATATGAAATTTATAGTACTCGACGAGATCTATCCGATAAGATCCATGTTGAATATTTTTTTTGAACTTTAAATGCATTTAAATTTTACGGGCAGAAATGAAGAAATGCGTTTTTCGTTTTTCTTTGAAAAATGGTTATCCAACGGTTTGGACTGATTCTCCATTATGTTCGTACTTGTTATCCAATCATATGTTTGACATTCACTCTTCAAAAAAAAAAAAAAGATGGATATCCACCTCTATTCTATTCTGTCCGTCAGAATTAAGTCATTTTTAAGTCCGAAAAAATGTTCACTGTAGATTTCGTTGGGTAGATCTCGATGAGTACTATAAATTTCATATATAATTTGTTCACAAATTCTTCACGGATTGGGAGATATGCTCGTTGAAAGATTAGAGTTAGATATGCATGAACACAATTTGGATAACCATGTAAATCCATTGGATAACCAGTATTAGCGCATTGGATAATCAACATGAACACAGTGGATATCCAGTTTGAGAAGATGGATAACCAACTTATTTCACATTCATATTGTTATGTTCCTTGTATCTTTTGATCCGTAAAGAATTATAACACGAATTATATATGAAATTTATAGTGCTCGACGAGATCTATCTGATAAGATCGATGTTGAATATTTTTTTGAACTTTAAATGCATTTAAACTTTACGGGCAGAAAATGAAGAAATGTGTTTTTCGTTTTTCTTTGAAAAATGGTTATCCGTTGTGTTCATGCTGATTATCCAACCGGTTTGGAGTGATTATCCATTCGGTTCGTACTTGTTATCCAATCATATGTTTGACATTCACTCTTCAAAAAAAAAGATGGATAACCACCTCTATTCTGCCCGTCAGAATTAAGTCATTTTTAAGCCCGAAAAAATGTTCACTGTGGATTTCGTTGGATAGATCTCGACGAGTACTATAAATTTCATATATAATTCGTTCACAAATTCTTCACGGATTGGGAGATATGCTCGTTGAAAGATTAGAGTTGGATATGCATGAACACAGGTGGATATCCAAGACAAACAAGTTGGATAAGCATGTAAATCCATTGGATAACCAGTATTAGCGCATTGGATAATCAATATGAACACATTGGATATCCAGTTTAAGAAGATGGATAACCAACTTATTTTGACTTAAGAAGTTGGATAACCAAATGGATAAGCAGTAGAAACAAAATGGATAACCAGTTCAAACCGATTGGATAATCACCATGAACACAATGGATAACCAATTTAGAACAAGTTGGTTATTCATTTTGTAAAACTGGATATCCAGCCCTATTCTGTCCATCAGAATTAAGTCATTTTTAAGCCCAAAAAAATATTCACTATGGATTTTGTTGGATAGATCTCGACGAGTACTATAAATTTCATATATAATTCGTTCACAAATTCTTCACGGATTGGGAGATTTGCTCGTTTAAAGATTATGGATGTTTTTTTTGGAAGAGAGAGAAAAAACTCACAAGAACTAAACGTGTAAAATATAGAAAGATTGAGAAAAAAGTACAATAATGACTAAAAATGTAAAAAATAGGAGGGGGGCACGGTGCCCCCGGGTATACTTGATAATTTGCCAAAATAAAAACCAAATCTACCAACACAATTACATTTACCAAAACAACTAAATAATAATAATAAAAACCGGTCCTGTACATTAATGAAAACATGTATTCCATAAAACAACAAAATCCAGCCATTTTAGTGTAACAAATACATGACATATATATAGCATTCCAAATACCTTGCTCTAGGTTTTCTATATTCTATCCACCTACCAAGGCATTTTATAGTACCAATTAATATAAAAAAAATCCTGGAACAAAACATACACTGCCTCTGTTATTGATGTTATAAAACCACAAAATTTACACAGTAAATCAAATAAAATTGGCCATAAAAATACAAGAGAAAATCAAGAGCAGAAAGTTTTAAGAGATGTAACGTTAACCTTTGTTTCTTACACAATATCTAAACACAATAAGCAACAATGCACAATCCCACAAAAAAAAAGGCAAAAACAAACAACAGGAAAAAAGTAT